CTTGACTTTGTTTCAACAAGCACCTGTCTGAAGTGATTTCAGAAACACATTAAAAACACTACCAACATTGAGAATAGTCTTTCAGGTTTGGGACATGTTAGATAGTGTGTGTGTGGCTGTCAAAGAATAGTTGGTGCCAAACTGGGGGGGGGAATTGAAACTCAGAGCGCTGGCATCTAAAGAGAGTTATAGTGCAGGAGATACTTAAGAGAGTCACAAGTTCGAATTTTGCAGAGAAGAATTGGTGGAATACTGGCCGTCACCTTCACATAATTGGTGGCAGCAGTGGCAAACACTAAAAAGGAGTGGAAGGTTTTGAGAGATTTTGGCAGTGCCATGTTTTCACCATCACAACACTAAATTGCACTAGTCTACTGTTTGAATGAGGCTGCTTGAAGCCAGAGTTTGTTGGTTTGTTCAAACCTGAAACTCTGATTAGTTATGGCAGGGGTTGGCATGTTCCCCTTACCTGGGGCCGGGCCGGGGATCCCTGCATCTTCCGCGGGCCGATGGTGATGGTGGGGAAATGGCAGCGCCGTGCTCGTCATGGCTGCCATTTTGTTTTCCAAAATGGCAGCTGCGGGGTTTCACGCATGTGCAGGAGTACTGCGCATGCACAAACGAGTTGTGGCCACCATTTTGGAAAACAAAATGGTAGTCGCGACGCGCATGGTGCGGCAGCAGGGGGTCCAAAGGGCTTGGGGGGCCGGCCCCGGCCTGCGGGCCGTAGGTTGCCGACCCCTGGGTTATGGTTTGGGGAAACAAGCCATGATACAAAATCATACTTTGTTCCTTGCTGTTTAAACAAACTAGTTTAAAATACTATATATACACTTATGTATAGACTAGAAATTTTAGTCATAAATTGACCCACAAAAAACTGGGTTGAGTTATCCATGGGTCCATGTAAGTAATATCCTTTAACTCTTTTCACAAGAGGAACCATCCCCTTCTCCGAGTAGAGTAGCAAAAGGCTTAGTCCACCCTGGGAGCACCTAAGCACCTAAGAAGCACCAATCTCCTCTACTCTGTCTGACACAGTTCCCATGTAGATTTTTGGCACTTTTCCCCAAAGGAGCATGGGGAAGAATTGGGCTCTGAAGGATTTGAATAAGGCATTTGTGCATGTTTGTCAGGTTTTCTGGGTTAAAATCAGATAATGTTATCACATTGAAGTTAAAGGCTATAACCACTGCTAATGTAGTTAACTTTTTCTTTGCTGTGCCTTTTCATCCTTTTTGACATGTGTGCATTTGCTGTGCCTGTTCGTTTCCCTGACACATCATACAGTCATGATTATCACAGTTCCCTCCTCATCCATCCAACCTTTAGGGTGAGCACAAACAGTTATACTTGATGGAATTTTGTTAAGTTCTTTGTTGTACTGTTTTCCTTTGTTTCATCCTTTACATCTTTGTTACATGCCCCTACATTTTACTCTTGACTTATCTACAAGTCATATGAAAATCCACAATTTTTGACCTTCAACTTACACATGAGGTTGACATATAGTTGGGTTTATGTTGTTGCATGACTTCAAATTGTTTCTTATGGTGATCCTAAGGTGATCCTATCATGGAGTTTCTTGATAAGATTTTTTCAGAGGGGATTTGCCATTGCTTTTCCCTGAGGCTGAGAGAGTGTGACTTGCCTAATATCACCCAGTAGGTTTTCATGGGCTAGCTGACAATCAAACACTGGTTCCTAGAGTCATATTCCAACACTCAAACCACTACACCATGCTAGCTCTCAGTTGAGTATATGCAATAATCATTTTGTGCATTTCAGTATACTAATAAGTCATGGATACTTTGAAACGGAGATAGATATTTGCAGACTCCTTGATACCATGCTAGAGAAGAGGGAGGAGTAAGGGGATAACCTGAGTTGAGGCAGGTTCATGTACAAAGTACTAAACTATGGATTAGGTTTACATCCAACCTTGGTCTGTGACAGAGACAAAGGGGCTGTACAAACCAGCAAGAAACTCCACCACGAGGGTGAAGTGGGGACATGGTGTACGCATGGCACATGCCCCAACTCTGCTCCCAAGCTGGCATCATACCACCTTCCCGACCAGACAGTGTCCAGCATCATGACATTTCTGCAATGCAGTGTTTACACGTGTTGTGCCGAAGAAACCCAGAAGAGCTGCCACCGCCACGGCAAGGGCGACTTTTTCTGCCTCCAAAAGGAGTGGCATTTTGCTGCCTCTTTTGGACTGGAAAAGTGCTAGATTGGGGCCATGGCATGTGGTTGCCATGACCCCGATCTGATGCTCAAAGAGGTGGCGCACAGCTGCTCCTTTGGGGCAGTCTGCTTTGCCCCAAAGATAAGCCTCCCATAGAAGATTTATGTTCCAGTGTTTGTGGATTACAGAATAGGATCTGGTTTTCTTTTCTTTTCAGTGGAAATTAGCCTTCTGGAAACTAGAAGAGTTGGTCCTGCAGCATGACTTTATTAACATTACTCTGGTAGTAGATGACATTGCACAGTAATATATATGTCATAGTAAATTAAAAATGACCTTTGATTTGTTACTTATTGTTCTGTGTCAGTATTTTTGATTGATCAAATGTGTATTTCTTGAGTGATTCTTCAACTGATGATTTTCTTTTCTTTTTTATAAAGCTTTTTTTTATTAATTTCATAGACCAGAAGTATTTTTGGTCTGGAAGAACTCATTTGATTAGTGCTGTGATGCTCTAATGGATAAAATTCTAGTGCTTCTGTATAGGAACACATGAATTTCAGACAGTTTTCTATTAGGTTTCTATTAAGTTTCCCTTAGAGTCTAACTAGATGCATTAGTGGCAACATTATTCCATCATCTGCAAGGCATTAGTGGTGACATGATTCCAGTGTGTCCTAGACACTAATATATTGGAATTCGCTTCTTTTAAACATTGCTAGGAAACCATGTTCTGTACATATTCCAATTTTTTTTCCATATGTAGATCTTGCTGATGTTTTTGTGCTCTCTGTGTGTGGCACCTCCACAATTAAGATGAAAGAATGTGGGGTTTTGTATTTTAGTTCAACATGGATATGACAGTGGTTATTAGGGTATACTAGTAGTTAGTATGAAAAAGATGTTAGGGGTTTTTAACAGCTTTTTGTATTTATTTTAGAAGACAAACAAATGAGAAAAATCTGCTAACTATTGCTTCTTTTATTTCTGTAATACCAATGTGGTAGTAATTAACATTTACAATCACGAATTTTGTCAGTAAGTGTTTGCATGTTAACTTTTATATGTACACTTGTTCTTGTGTACTTTACAATCATTTCTGATTTATGGTGATTCTGTGGCAAATCTATTGGGGTTTCCTTGGCATATTTTTTTCAGAGTGTGTTTATCCTTGTCTTCCTCTGAGGCTGAGAGTGTGTCACCCAGTAGGTTTCCATGGCCAAGCAAGAATTTGAACCATGGCCTCCCAATGTCCTAGTCCAATATTCAAACCATGCTGTCTATATCTGTGCTTACTTACTCCTCATTCATTTGAATGTTTGTAGTAGTTTAAAGCTTTAATACCAAAATAGAACAGCTAATCACACTTCCTTTCCCTCATTTGTGGAGAAAATATATGAGTGTGTGTACATGCACACTGGATCTTCATGTGGAGGAAACTGTTTATCACTTCTTTGAATGAGACATGAAAACATTGAGAGGGGAGGCATAAGAAACTGTTGCTTTCCTGTCTTGACATTTCATATTCTAGTATAGGGTATCAAACCTTGGGGCATAGGGTATGAAACTTTGGCGATACAAAGATCAGTAGTTGGCCCCCTGCTCTTTATATGAAAAGTCCCAGCTTTACTGTTAAAATAATTTTTCACTTAAAAAAAGATTGCCCATTAGGAGGTCTCACCCTGAGAGTTTGAAAAGCTACTTCCAGGGGAGTACTGATTTAGGTGGATCAGTAGTCTGACTTGGGATCAAAAGCTTGATCTCTGACTAAGGATTTGCTTTTAATCCTGGTTTTGTGATAAGAACACAAGCCTTATCAGTAGTCCTTTGTGTTCAGGGTTTTCCTTTTCATCATTAAGAGGGCAGAGTAAATTCAGTCAAATTCCATGAGGTCAAGTGATGTATGCAGTGTCTTAACCTTTGGCATTCATAGGCTTTAGAATTCAACAAGATATTGTTTGGTCTTCAAGCCCAAATATCTGATTTTAAGAATTCTATTGGGCCTTTTTGGAAAATCTCTAACAAGCAAACTTTTTTAAGGCAGTATTGTCCAATTCTGATCTCTCCCTGCCTACTTTATCTTTTTGTTTACATTTGGTCCCCAGCTTTGAACACCATGCAATCATTAAGCTGGTTCTTTTTCAGTTATATCAACACTTTTCAAATATAGTCATAGTATCATAGAATCATAGAGTTGGAAGAGACCACAAGGGCCATC